AGGATTTTCGCTTAAGGTTAGTTTCGAAGCCCATAGGAATGCATTAATGGCGTTTTAATGCGTTTCTATGGGCTTTTTAATTCCGTTTAGCGATGAAATCACTTAGCAACGTTTTTTCCTGCACGGATTAACATCGCTAAGCGAGGCACCACTGTACGTGAAGATGGGAGAGATTTAAATTCCTCCTCTTCCTCCATCTCTACCATCTGAGTTCTGTGCAAAATTAGGGCCCCCTCCTCAATAGGTTTAAAAACTCAGTTGGCACTGAGTTCTCTCTTTTCCTTTATTATTATTATTATTATTTTTATAAGACCACTTTAGGGGTCTAAATTTTTAAATATAACTCATATTGGGGAAAAGTTCAAGATTCCATGAACTGTGTTGATCCTGATCTATGTATGCTTACTTTGGAATTTAGAAAAGCATGTGTAGCTACAATAAGACCCCTGTAGCCGTGGGATATATATGACATATAGGGAGAACGCAAAGGCCAAAAGGGGCACCCTTGTATGTTGTAGATAAGGTTGTGGCATACTGTGGATAATTAAAACCATAGATACCAATCCTCCACATGTTTCCTCCTTTGTTCGGTTCTCAAAAGTTTGCGGATCCACTTTGCTGCCAGCTTTCTCATTTCCAAGTTATTGTGGATAATGGCACCAACTTTCTCACGGGATATTGCCAGATACATAGCAATACTGATATTGGCTGATATTCAGCTGTCCTCCATGATCATGTCATGGATGGCTTTCACATTTGCAGGCACAGAGACAGAAATAGGCCTTCCACTGGGTTTCTCACATTCAACACTGAAATGGCCAGTTTAAAACTTGACAACCCAACATTGATCTATTCCACATGAAGGGCCACTGTCACCCATAGTTTGTGGCATTTCATCATGGATCTGCTTTGCACCTTTCCCTTGGAGAAACAGGAACTTTGTTATGGTCCTATGCTCTTCCATATTGAACTTTTCTGGAGGTGCTGCCATGATCAATTTGGAGCTGAAAATGAAAGTTAAGTTAAAATCATAGGTAGTTGATTTTGACACCATTGAATATAGACAAGTTGGCCAATACACCCTGCAGTTTATAGCTTCTTAGCTCAATTTTTTCTGGGGAAGGCTCAATACGTATCAGCACCCCCTTGTACTATATATGTTTCATATTCATCATAGAATGCTGTTTGATGCTTAGATGCACACATTAATTGGAACAGTACCAACATAAACCATCCCAAACATCCTGCCTGTGAAGGTGATTGTTATTTGTTATGCAATATGTACAGTACTTAACACTTGCTTTCTGACTATGGAATGGCACAGGAAAATGACATTTCCATTTCTTCTGTGAATCTGTTTTCCATATCTTCTCTTCCAAATAATGGAATAGATCCTGAGCTAACACAGAGACCAGAGTAAGGGGTCAGTCTCTGAATGGACAGCCTGTACAGCCAAGAGTTTTTTTTTAAAGGTTCATCAAATCAAGCCCCAAACTACTAAATACAGTAGGACTTCCATATTCATGGGGGATCAGCTCCACAACCTAACATGGATGATGGAAACCATGGGTACGAAGAAACCTTATATACAAAATGCAAGCAGGCAGAATGAAGGCCATAAAGGGGTGCCCTTTTATGTTGTATATAAGGCTGCGGCAAACCACAGATAAGTGAAACAAAGGAACCTTATATACAAAATGCAAGCAGGCAAAACGAAGGCCATAAGGGGGTGCCCTTTTATGTCGTATATAGGGCTGCGGCAAACCACAAATAAGTGAAACTGGATACTGATCCTGTGGATAAGAGGGGTCTTACTGTAGTTAGTATTTTAATTAGTTCCACGTTGAGGTTTACGTTTTCAAAAAGTTGTTATGGTTGAAAGACTTGACAAGGATCCAAACACAAATCTTGGTCAATCAGTTTTGTATTTTCTGGTGTACGAAGAAGAGCCCCCCTGAAGAGACAGAAGGCTCATCTATTCCAGTAACATATTTTTCCCATCACGGCACATAGAGAAACACAGCAGGACAAGATGGCAGTGACCACCCATCTCCTTTTGTTGCTCTCTAGCAAGCAGCATAGCACCTGCTTTGTGTACAGAAGGCCACAGGTTTGAAGTTTAGCATACTTAGAGTAGGAAGTTGGAGTCCCCTGGAAACCATGCAGAGCTCCTATCAGTCAATGTAAGCTAGACCAAGAGTTTGCAGATTGGGTTCCATGCAAGATACCTTCCTATAATCGTAACAGCTGGTGATCATGCAGCTATAGTCCAAAAATTATTTTTTCAAACTCCAGAAGAATTCTTTCCTTTTCTTGTTTTGAAACCCCTACTGTTCCATTTCACTGAATAATCATAGTTGAGAGGCAAAGAAAAAGCATCTTTTTAAAGGATGGATCTAGATGTTAGACATGTAAATATTTTCAGATTTCAGGCCAATAAGTTGAGATATTGCTGCCCTAGTTCTGAAAAGCTTATAATTTGTTATTCAAGAAATGTCATTTGCCTTTCTGGACATACAGTATCACTGTAGACATTTCCATTACTGTGCCACATAGGGACATAGCTTTTCCTAAACAAACAAAACTCTGCAAGTCTCAGATTCAGTTCACCACAGGAAGTGATTTATAGCACAGGCTTGTACATGTTTGCTTGCTGATAAGTAACTGTCCTTGCATTGCAGTGAATGTGCATAGGGCTGGAGTCTTACTACTTTTAATAACTGAGAAAGATAAATGTTGTTTAGTTGTTAAACCAAAGCAAAGCGTGCTGCTTATATACCACCCCAAAGCGCTTTAAGCACTCTCTGGGCGGTTTACAAGTTAATTATGCAGGCTACACATTGCCCTGCTTTGTTTTGAACTCCAAGGCCAAACTTACCTGTTGTTCCTTTTATCTCTTGACTCCATACTTCCAATCCCCTAGAATGAGAAGAACATCTTTATTTGGTGTAAGTTCTAGAAAGTATTGTAAGTCTTCATAGAATTGGTCAGTTTCAGCCGCTTCAACATCGGTGATTGGTACATAAACTTGGATTACTGTGATGTTGAAAGGTCTGCCTTTGATTCATAGTGAAATCATTCGTAATCATTCTCTCATTTTTGAGATTGTATCCCAGTACAGCTTTTCCCACTCTTTCGTTGACTATGAGGGCCACTCCATTTCTTCTATGGGATTCTTGCCCACAATAGTAAATATGATAATCTTCTGAATTGAATTCGCCCATTCCCATCCATTTTAGTTCACTGATGCCCGGGATGTCGATGTTTATTCTTGCCATCTCCTGCTTGACCACCTCCAGCTTAGCAAGGTTCATAGATCTTACATTCCAGGTTCCTATGCAGTATTTTTCTTTGCAGCATTGGATTTTCCTTTCACTTCGAGGCGCATCCACAGCTGAGCGTCCTTTCAGCTTTGGCCCAACCACCTCATTAGCTCTGAAGCTACTTGTACTTGTCCTCCGCTCTTCCTCAGTAGCATGTTGAACGCCTTTTGACCTGAGGTGCCCATCATCCAGCGTCATATCTGTTAGCCTTTTGTTTCTGTCCATGGAGTTTTCTCCTATATTTAAGAAAGATGGTAAATTCCCATGTGATTAGTTATATTTATCTCACATAAAATTCCATTTGAGAGAAGTATGTCACTCCCACTTGCTGAAGATGCTTGTTTGATTGTGCCCCAATTACTCATACACAAGTTAATGTCATTTTGTTATTGCCACTGACGGGTTCTTTTCCTGTTTTTCACTTAATGTTGCAATGGAGTTGGCTTCACGCCACTCTGCTGTTAGAATGCTCCTACTGAAGCAAGACTAGTTTATATGTGATTGACCTTCTGTTTGCAACCAGGGTTTTCTCTGGTTCTCCTTTGTCTGACCTTTACTTGAAAACTGAGAAAAGCCACCACGTGGTGACAGTTGCATCTGGAGATAATACGCATAACAGTTATCTAATGCAAAGCAGGGAAGTGTTTGTGTGCTATTAGGAGGAAAGAGACTCATATTTACACTCATTTGGTGGTGGCATTCTGAAGCAGGCCTCTCCTCTAAAAGATAATCACATATAAATTAAAAAGTGATTAGTCATACTCCTTTCTACTTACAATCATTTTCAATTTGTGGAAATTCACAAGTGATTAGCCATACTTGTACTTTAAAATAATTACCCCACTTGAGGGAACCATGGGTTTGTAGGAAATGAATGTAGCAGTAGCAGAGACAAAAATATTTGGCTGTAGAAAAGTATAGAACACGGTAGCCCATAGAACAGTATCTCTATACCAGTGTTTCTCTACTTGGGGGTCATGACCTCCAAGAGGATCAGAAATAGTTTTCTAGGAATCAGGGGGCTTATATGTTAAGTAAATTGTTCCTTGACCTTTCAGTATGGGATATTAAAGATAGCATATACTGTATGTATGAGAAACAAGTTCTTTATGGGGAGAAAGAAGCCTCTACTTTCTGAGAAGGGATGACTTTATCCTTTTAAAATGTCTCTTTATGCAGTCATGGTGGTCGGATCGCCTCAAAAAACCCTACTCTGTTTGGTTTATTTAGGAGCATTCTCAATCATGCAAAGAAACACAAACAACCCTATAGCCCTAGCGCTGTGCCGAAAACAAGCAGGACAGCTCTAAAAAGGGTGGGATGAATTGCGCTAATTCAAAATACGTGTAGATGCCATGATTTGATCCAAACTAACTAGCACCAAGATTCATCCAAATAGTGAGCTATATGCCTGTCTGAATGTGCTCGTGGTGGAAGATGCAGCAAAGGAAGCTTTAAACAGCTTCCTATCATCAATCTACCTTCTTCTTTAGAGCCAAGGAGGACCGGCTTGAATTATTTATCATACAGAAAGACTAATCAAGAGTCATATTCTCGCATTCCCCATATCCTTAGAGCTCTGTGCTTTCTGAGTTTTGTACCGGAAAGGCAACCATGTAAGATTAGCCACGATGCTTTCATAGCCCAAATCTACTTTTTTTGTCTTAAATATTCTAGGCCATAGCACAAAACACAGATCTTAGAGACCGGTTACACAGAATACATGCCGAATCTATGCTCCATGATTCAGCAGCTAATGCAAAATCCAGCCCTGATTTGGCAAAGGTGGGTATAGATTTCCTGTCTCTCTGCAATGCTGCTTGCTTAGTCTCTTCCCCTTCTCCCAACCCCCATGCCAATGAAGTCCTGCATCCCATTCCACTATTCCTGCGCTCGTGCTTATGACTCATCTGGTATTGTAACCAGATGCTGATTGTGAATGTTTTCCATAGAGCTGGTATTATTTCTGACCATGCTTTCCCTGTGTTTTGCTGACAGACTTTGGTTTCTTTTGTAGTTTCATTAGCAAAAGGCATTCTCTCATGTTGTCTGGTGCCACTGACTTGTTTGCACCTTAGGTACATTACTATTGTAAGTCCCTCTGCTGAAACATTTGTGCACACCCCCGAATAATTTAATGAAAGACCAATTGCACTCTGCTTCATAAACAGCTTTTCAAAGAATGATCTTTCAGAGTTTGTCAGCTGAAAAATGCTCTTCATAAGATAAGCAACATCAAATGCCTGTCCGCACGCCACCTTCCCAAATTGCTATTGCCTGGGAGATTGCAATGCAAAGGCTTACACATCTTGAGCTGCAAAGGAAGTGAATTCTCCTGAAGGTTGAGTGAAGATGAATGGAGATTGATTTGCAGAGCATAGCAGACATACAGTGGAAAACTCTGAAGAAGGAATGGGTTCTGTGTTATTCACCATAGACTTTCTGGATGTTAAACAGTACAAGAACTGATTCTGAACAAATGCTGTAAATTTTTAAAAAACCAGAAAAATAGATGGGCTGGTTTACCCATTGATTGATATTTCATATGAACAGCTAAAGCTGGTGAATCCCAGTGGGAGCACACCATTCTAAGACCTAGAAGGCAGAAATGAGTGGAAGATAATGTGTATTCATTTGTATTGCAATCAGGGCAAATCATTGTGCTGTAAGGCAACTTCTCGGCATGCCTCTTGTAACCTGCTGTTGCATGAAGACAGAAGTTGCTTCTGCAGGCAGTTTAGCATTAGTCAGTTTTTACACTTCTCCCTTAAGCTTGTACAGAACTCTGACTACAGTGGTGCCTCGCTAGACGATGATAACCCTTTCAAATGAAATCGCTGTTTAGCAAAATCATCGTCTAGCAAAAACCATTTCCCCATTGGAGTGCATTGAAACCTGTTTAATGCATTCCAATGGGGAAGAATCGTCGTTGTCTAGCGAAGATCAGCCATAGGAAAGCCACTTTGCAAACCGCTGCTCAGCTGTTTAAATAGCTGTCTTACGAAGCTTAGGTCCCGAAAACGCCCACTTTGCGAGTGCGGAGGGAGCTGTCAAAATCGTTGTCTAGCAAAAATCGGTTTGTGAAGCAGGGACCAAGCATTGTCCAGCGAAATTCCCCCATAGGAACCACTGTTTTGCAAATCGCTATAGCAATCGCAAAAAGTCAATGTCTAGCGAAAAAACTGTCATGCAGGGTAACTGTCTAGCGAGGCACCACTGTAACTGAAAACACTTTAGAGATAGCACCTCCTGTGTGCATCCATCTTGCCATGTTTTGGCCACACTAGTCATATTGGTTATATTGTCACCATATTGGGGGGGGGCAACAATACACACTGTTAGCACACCATGCTAACGGTGGTGGTGTGGTCAGTTTGAAAGTGCTTCATGACACTTTGCACAGTTACACACACAAGCCAAACGAGTCTAAAACAGCAGACATCTGGATCGGTCCATAGTAACAAATGAGAAGCAAGTGCATTGTAAAACTAATTACCCTTCATTGCCCACAACATCCTCAAATGCTTTGCATTACCACAGGGATAACCTTGGATGTTGTACTGTTCTAGAGAAAATTAATTGCTCTTCCAGCTACAGGGATGATTGCAGCTAAACTCAGAAGGAATCAGAGTGTATGAGGGAGGCAGATGGATGATATCATAGTCTCTGGTGCTCAGAAGGTCCCACAGCTTGTTTTTATTGAAGACATTTGAGGAGATTCAGTGGAGCCGGCAAACTGTTGGCCCGTTTGTGGGCATGCAGTAGTTCATTCTTCAGATGATCATTATGACACTTTGTAGTCTTGTAGCAAATTATCATCTGATTTAATGTTGCAAGCCCAAACATTTCAGAATGATTTGTGAGGATTCATTGATCTTATTGCTTGGAGATAACAAAGCAGATATTTCATAAGGCTGTTAGGACACTCTTCTACAGTCCTGTTAGTTGCATTAAATCTTTCCTGTCCAGACTGGAATCTTGGAATCATTAAGTACTTGCTAAACCAGTAAATCCTCAGATTGAACCTTATAATATTAACTCATTGATACTGTCTCAAAACCTTTAGGTTACGAATATATGAAATGACAGACAAAGAGGACAGAAAGGGAATGGAGAATGAATAATTGAACAGATGCGTTTTGTGACTTAGTCAGCAACTGTTGTTATATGTTGTCAAGTTGCTTCCAGCTCATAGCAAGCCTGTGAGTTCATGATCTTCCAGATTCCTATCATTAGCAGCCGTGGTCAAGTCTTGCAAATTAAAGGCTGATGTTTCTTTTATTGAATTACCTCCTCTCTTGTCTAGTCTTCTTTTTGTGTTGCCTTCAGTTTTTCCTAGCATTATTGTCTTTTCTAATAAGACTTGTCTTCTCATGATATGTCCCAAGTATGATAGCCCCCATTTAGTCCTTTTAGGTTATTGTGGAAGCGCAGACTTGATTTGTTCTAATAACAAATAATCTTGTGTCGTCAAGTCAATTCAGACTTATGGTGGTGACCTTCTTCATGGTTTTCTAGGTACAGAATATTCAGAAATGGTTTACCATTCCCTTCTTCTGAAGGCATTCTGGGACTGTGAAGCATGCCCAAAGCCACAAAGGCTGGTTTTTCTGGGATGCACAGTGGAGGAAATGAACTCCCAGCCTCTGTCTCTGGAGCCCAATATCTGACTCAATGATCTATCTAGCCAGTTACTGGTTTATTCTAGCACCCGTTTATTTGTTTTCTGGTAGTCCGTAGTATCCATAAAGCTGTTCTCCAAGATCACATTTCAAATGAGCTGATTTTTTCTCTCTATTGTTTTTCTTCATTGCCCAGCTTGGCATCAGCTTTTTAAAGCTGTTGCCATTTTCTTCAGTCATACAATGTCATCTGTCTATCTTAATTTTATGGATGTTTCTTCCACCAGTTTTTACTCTTCCTTCATCTGAACTGAATCCAGTTTTGTATGTGATATGCTCTGCATTTAAATATAATAGATAGATATATAATGCACCTTTGTCTGACCATTCTGTTTCTCCATGCTCTGTCCTAACAGTAGCTTGAGATAGCTCTGTTGGGATCCTATCTATTCCTGGTGATTTATTTTTTCCAAGTGTTTTGTGAGCAATTTCTACATCTTCCAGCAGTACCTCATCCACCACTGTCTTATCTTCCATTTTGGGCTGACTCATTTTAGTTTTCTGAGTAAAAACATTCAGAAAGAGTTTACTACAGTATTATCTTCCTCTGTATAGTTCTAACCAGAGTTAGCTTGAATGTCAGTGCTAGTGAAAGATCCTCTTCCATTGTTGCCCTCCAATACTGCTGCTACCTAAAGTTGCCCTCCAAGAGTTTCTCTGCTCCCATCACGCTGACACTATCAGTTCTCTTATGCTGCTAGACCATTCATTCCTGAAGAAGACAGATGCATCTTCGTTGGGTGTCTAAGCTTTGACCATTTCACCTTGGGTGAGTCCATCATGGAGTCTAGCCTTCTGACATTTTTCTCAGCTTCCCTGACACAATTTCTCAGCACATTAAGATGTGCATAGTTCTAACTGCTATATACAACATTGTACCAAAGTCTATCGATTTTTTTCACATGGAAAAAGACAATATTAAGTTTTAGAAATTGTGTAACGCCCACTTTTATCTCTCCTACTTTGGTAACTCCCATCTCTTCTGATGTGATAAACGCTTTTATACATTATACTGTATACATTGATATTAAGCTCCTCTTGTATGCTACAGATATGCCTTGAAAGCCTAGGGAAATTTGGTGCTCAGAGTGACAGAGCCAGGGTTTATGTGCATCAGTGTTTCTAATATGTTTTATTTTGTGGCTTGTTCTCTTTCTGTTTTTGTATGTGCATGTAAAACACTGACACATTGAATAGCTGCTGATACCTAACTGTCTAAATTATTAGAACGACGGCTCATTTTACAGTTTTCTGAGTAAAAACATTCAGAAGGAGTTTACTATTGTCTTCATCTGTATAGTTCTAACCAGAGTTAGCTTGAATGTCAGTGCTAGTGAAAGATCCTCTTCCATTGTTGCCCTCCAATACTGCTGCTACCTAAAGTTGCCCTCCAAGAGTTTCTCTGCTCCCATCACGCTGACACTATCAGTTCTCTTATGCTGCTAGACCATTCATTCCTGAAGAAGACAGATGCATCTTCGTTGGGTGTCTAAGCTTTGACCATTTCACCTTGGGTGAGTCCATCATGGAGTCTAGCCTTCTGACATTTTTCTCAGCTTCCCTGACACAATTTCTCAGCACATTAAGATGTACATGGTTATAACTGCTGTATACTACATTGTGCCAAAGTCTATTAATTTTTTTTCACATGGAAAAGGCAATACAGTGGTGCCTCGCAAGACAATGTTAATTTGTTCCATGATAATCACTGTTAAGCGAAAACATCGTCTTGCAAAACACGTTTTCCCATTGAAATGCATTGAAAACCTGATAATCCGTTCCAATGGGAACAAATTTTCATCCATCGTAAAGCGAAAATTCCCATAGGAAACATCGTTAAGCGAAACGCGGTTCCCAAGCGAAGACAGCCATCTAATGAAACAGAGACCATTAAAAGACTCGTATAGTCAAGCAAGACCAAGCTGTCAAAAACATTGTAAAGTGAAAAACAGGGACCTAAAATGTAATCGTATTGCGAGGCAAGGTCCCTAACATCGTAAAGCGAAAATCGCCCATAGGAAACATCGTTAAATGAAGCATAAGATCACTCCGAAAACCTCATCGTAAAGCAAATTCGTCATTAAAGAAGTCATCGTCTAGCGAGGCATCACTGTATTAAGTTTTAAAAATTGTGTAACGCCCACTTTTATCTCTCCTACTTTGGTAACTCCCATCTCTTCTGATATGATAAATGCTTTTATACATCATACTGTATACATTGATATTAAACTCCTCTTGTATGCTACAGATATGCCTTGAAAGCCTATGGAAATTTGGTGCTCAGAGTGACAGAGCCAGAGCTTATGTGCATCAGTGTTTCTTATATGTTTTATTTTGTGACTTGTTCTCTTTCTGTTTTTGTATGTGCATGTAAAACACTGACACATTGAATAGCTGCTGATACCTAACTGTCTAAATTATTAGAACGAAACAGTGGTGCTGTCAAGTCTGAAATATAGTTGTGTAAATACTTTTTATAGGAAAAATTATTGCAGGCAATCGTTGATAACTTTAGGTTGTCAGTTTAAATTAGCGGTTTGGGCTTTTTACTACTTGATCACAAAGTGAGTGAAATATATGGTACCAGATTTCCATTCTGAGAAATGCGTATTTTGTTAAAGAGCTTTCATTTGATAAGAACGTTAAAGGATTCTCTGGATTTTTCCCACTCCAAAGTCCATGCAATATGAATCTGCACAAAACTGCATGAGGCGGAAGCCTGCTTGCATGTTTCCTTTCTTCTCCTACTTTCCCCTTCCATTAGTGCTCCATAACAACTGGGCTGGGTTCCTTCCCCTTTGCTACCTTTGCTGAATGTCATGTAGCTCATTTTGACCAACAGAGCCAATGAAAAAAAGGCCACATGTGTTTCATTGGCACTGTTATCATGAGGGGAAATGGCTGTGTACAAGAGTTGACTTCTTACATGTCTCTGTCTCCATCTGGTAGAAAATGGCAAAGGGAAAGAAAGAGGGTGAGGAGATAAAGTCCATCATGGAGTCTAGCCTTCTGACATTTTTCTCAGCTTCCCTGACACAATTTCTCAGCACATTAAGATGTGCATAGTTCTAACTGCTATATACAACATTGTACCAAAGTCTATCGATTTTTTTCACATGGAAAAAGACAATATTAAGTTTTAGAAATTGTGTAACGCCCACTTTTATCTCTCCTACTTTGGTAACTCCCATCTCTTCTGATATGATAAATGCTTTTATACATCATACTGTATACATTGATATTAAACTCCTCTTGTATGCTACAGATATGCCTTGAAAGCCTATGGAAATTTGGTGCTCAGAGTGACAGAGCCAGAGCTTATGTGCATCAGTGTTTCTTATATGTTTTATTTTGTGACTTGTTCTCTTTCTGTTTTTGTATGTGCATGTAAAACACTGACACATTGAATAGCTGCTGATACCTAACTGTCTAAATTATTAGAACGAAACAGTGGTGCTGTCAAGTCTGAAATATAGTTGTGTAAATACTTTTTATAGGAAAAATTATTGCAGGCAATCGTTGATAACTTTAGGTTGTCAGTTTAAATTAGCGGTTTGGGCTTTTTACTACTTGATCACAAAGTGAGTGAAATATATGGTACCAGATTTCCATTCTGAGAAATGCGTATTTTGTTAAAGAGCTTTCATTTGATAAGAACGTTAAAGGATTCTCTGGATTTTTCCCACTCCAAAGTCCATGCAATATGAATCTGCACAAAACTGCATGAGGCGGAAGCCTGCTTGCATGTTTCCTTTCTTCTCCTACTTTCCCCTTCCATTAGTGCTCCATAACAACTGGGCTGGGTTCCTTCCCCTTTGCTACCTTTGCTGAATGTCATGTAGCTCATTTTGACCAACAGAGCCAATGAAAAAAAGGCCACATGTGTTTCATTGGCACTGTTATCATGAGGGGAAATGGCTGTGTACAAGAGTTGACTTCTTACATGTCTCTGTCTCCATCTGGTAGAAAATGGCAAAGGGAAAGAAAGAGGGTGAGGAGATAATTCTGGGCAAAGCTGCTTTATGGTGGTTCAGTAAAACAACACACATTGCCTGTTTCCTCAAATGGGCATATAAGCAGTGCAACTCTTTAGCAAGCATTTTTAAGCAGGGTCAAGATGTAAAGACAGAAAATGAATTAAGCCTTTATGTGACCTTTTGCCTAACTTATCTTGCTTTGCTGATATCCCATCTGTATCCCTTCTAAAATGCATACTACCCTGCCAGCCAGTTTACATTCTACTTCCTGTCTTTCTTTAATAATCTTGAGTCCCTGGTCAAGGTTACTCTGTTCTATCAGACATAATCTGACACTCTGTTCACCCAGGGAATCTTTGACCCAGATCCATTTGCTGCTTCCAGCTAGAGAAGAACCATTAAATCAGTAGAATTTTCATCAAGATTAACTTTCTGTTCAGCAGTAAATTCAGTGGGTTTACTTTAGGTGATCTAGTAGTTAAATCCAGACATTTGCCTCTTTCTCTCCCTCTGCCATCATACTTTTTAGCTGCTTCCATTTGTTTGTTTGTATCCTGCCCATCTAGTATCAGAGCACTACTCTGTGTGGCTAACAGGAATTATAAAAATAAGAATAATAACCCATCCACTACAGTGAAAGTGTAGGACCTGATCCAAGAGAGTAAACCATTTTGAGGGTCCTGTATAGAAAGAAAACTGGTTAATTGAGTAATTTTGCTTCCTTAGTTGAAGGGTAAGATGGCATCCCTCTTCCCAGTCCACATTAAGAAGGCAGCCGACTTAGTAGTACAGTGGTGCCTCAATTGACGAGGATAATCCGTTCTGTTGAAATCGCTGTTAAGATTAGACAACTGTAACGCGCTCTACGTGGGGCTGCCTTTGAGGCTGATGCAGAAACTTCAGGTGGTGCAGAATGTGGCGGCCAGACTCCTTACTGGAGTGAGAAAATACCAACACATTTCTCCAACTCTGGCCGCACTGCATTGGCTGCCCATTCGTTTCCGTGTCGACTTCAAAGTCTTAATGCTTACTTATAAGGCCCTAAATGGTTTAGGACCTCGATATTTGGCGGAACGCCTGCTCCCACCAA